GTCAGTGAGAGTCCGAAGCATGGATAAGAGGGTCCTATTGAAACGCTCTACCTGTCCATTCCCCTGGGGATGATAGCAGGTGGTATGAGAGCCCCGTATATTGCAGCACCTCTGAAGCTGGGACATTAGCTGGTTGTCAAACTCCCTGCCCATATCATGGTGAATCCTCTCAGGGAACCCAAAACGAAGGGCAAAATCATTGAACAGTTTTTCCACCACCATCTTGGCAGCTTTGTTGTTGGTAGCATAAGCCTGCGCAAAACGGGTATAGTGGTCTATGACTACGAGTATATACTCATACCCTTGTTTACAAGCTTCCAAATGCAAGAAGTCTATTGACACTAGTTCAAACGGGCGTGTGGAGACTATTGGAGTCATGGGGGCCCTAGTTGTCTTCTGTGGTTGTTTTGCTTTTAAACACTCACACACCTGAGTCACAAAGTGTTCTGTGTCACGCTGCATGTGCACCCAGTAAAACCGGTCTCGTATCAGGTTCAGTGTCCTCTCCACCCCCAAGTGTCCCATTTCTTTATGTAATTCCCCAAACACTGTCTGATGGTATCGTTTTGGTAAGACCAGTTGACATGTATCTCCTGTCCTTCTGTAGAGAATCCCTTGATCATTGATAAACAACTTCTTCCACTGCCTACACAGGATTCTGATGTCAGCGTGTTCACTCCTCAAAGCTTTTCTAGGTAACAGCTGATTGTTGAGTTTATAATGCAAGACAGGGCCAATGATAGAGTCTCTCTTGGCTCTCCCTGATCTGTTCTGGTGTTACTGTTTTGGCAAAAAGATGGGTAAGGAGGCATCACTTACCAACTCCAGTGCATCCCACTGTGTGGTCAGGGCCCAAGCTGGGGGGAGGTCTTTCTGAAGCATCACTCCCTGGACAGAGGCGCTGATCACTTCCTGGGTTACCTCCTCTGTACACCCTTGCATGAGTTCATTCATGTCAAGTGGCATACGGGAAAGGCCGTCTGCATCAGCGTTATGTTTAGGGTCCCTGCTCAGCAGCCCTCTCCAGTTTGTGTGTATCTCCAAACATCTATGCTCAAATAACAAGTTATATGCAATCAGCATCAATTCAATGAACATGTCATTCACTGTGCCACATATGCACTGCTGTAACATCATGTTCAGTCGTCCAAGGAGCTGAAACAGCAGCACTGAATGTTTGGAAGTTTAAGACATGTTTGTTTCTTTGTTGCACAACTAAAGAAGTGGCAGTAGGAATGGTTAATCGCCTTAAGGTAAATTGCCCCTGTCTTTTTTCTGCCTCACCACATTGCCTCCCTCTTGTTGTCGTGCTGTGCCATCAATTAGATTGAGCCCGCTCATCGCAACCCATTCCATTTAAAGTCTTTGATGGAGGAGGGAGAGAGGAGGCATGGAGGTAGACGAAGGCAAAAGGAAAGCAAAATTAACAAAGCGGCTCTGTTCAAAGGACAACAAAGAAATATTTTGTTACCAAGTGAAAATCAGAGTATCTGTATTTTGCAGGAATTAAGAACTTGGAGCTCAGACATCCAGTATTTATTTTTTAAAAAGCAGCTCCTATTCACCTTTTGTCATTTCAATTCCTCAAAATTGGGATGTTTAATTGTGTTTAATTATTTGACTAGCTACTGTTTGCTTTGATTTGATATATGAGCTACATTTATATTTATTGTACATTGTTTCTCCTTCGTGTGTGTGCCACAGGAGACTGGCTCCCTGAAGTCCACCAACAAGATCTGCCGCCAGCTGATTTACCACCTGACCCCTCACTCCAAGTGGACAAGACAGAGCGTGCCCAGGAGGAAGCCTCAGGCCTGGTGAGTGTGTCCTCTCCATTGTGCCATCACTCTTCAGATCAACTGTCCCTGGCACAGAACACACATCTTCGCCATCACTGTCACTCATTATCATTTGCAGAATCTCTCAAAAATGCTCCTCTCACTTAGAGGAAGTTGCCTGTTTCTGGGAAGATTTTGTCACTGTATACTGTGATAACATCACCTGGCGTCCTCAATTGTGTCCATCATAATTGGATGGCTGCTAAAGAGCCTCTAGGATATGAACATAAACATATGAGGCATTTACCAGAATGACTGACAGTGTCCTCTTTCACAGGAGGACAGGATCTCAGTTCAGCCTTTATAACATTCTGCAAGTTTCACTTAATGGCTAGAAGAACATTATTGGTCTGAACATATTCATCCATTCCTGCATCCATTTTTTAGAGCCATCCCCAACTGACAATGGGCGAGAGGCGGGGTACACCTTGGACAGGTCACCAGTCTGTCACAGGGCTCTGAGCATATTCATCTGCACCTTAATTTTGGTAACTGACAGCGAAATAAATCTGACTACTCCCCTGAGGAAAACTCTTGGAAGGAAAAAACTTATGTTATTCTAAGTTATTTATTCATTTATACTTTTCCATAGTCAGGTCAGGTTTTAATTACTATACATCCATTTTCACACTTGCTTCTCAGCAGTTTCTCACCCGATGCTGTTGTGACAGAATCAAATTAAGCTAAACACTGCCCATAAGAAGTGTTATTTGTTTTTACAGATTCAGACAACCAAGAATTCTTTTTCTCAGAAACGTGCGTACGCTGCCTGAATAAGAAACAAATGAGAAGCTAGGATAAGTAACAAATACTCTGAGATTGCACTTGCTTATCTACAGCAGGGTTTTCAGATAGTTGTGGCCCAGGTACCAGCATTCTGACTAAAAAGTAATCCGAGAACCACTGTGGTGGGCGGGATAGGCTAAATAGTTCTGAAAACCACCTTGATTTTTCTAAACTTTATCAATTAGATTATTCGCAAGCAATAAGTCATACATGGAAATGTGTTTAAAAAATAGCTTTTAAAAAATAATGATTGCTACAGTGAAATTACATTATTGAATGCAGGGTCAACTGCAGCCATGCTGTGTAAACAAATAAAATGCTCCAGCTCAAATTAAATAACAGGTGCGTTTGTGGAGACATTATTAAGAAAGAAAGAGAGAGAGAGAGAAAGAAAACACCGTCTCTAATGGTAATCACGAGGATCCCTCTCCCTGAGCAATTAACCCAGATTGAAAGATTTTTTGACATCTTGAGTTGGCTTCCGGTCTCTTGGTTGCAATGTTTCGAAATAACACTCAACCAAACAACAAGGCAGACTCTCCCAGTGTGCTCATTAGCAAGCTGTCTCTCTCACAGCCACCACTGTAACCATCCAGACAGCAGCGCTTTACTGTGGGACTCAAACCAGACTGTTTCTCTTTTCCATAGATATTACGCTCGCTGAATGTGCAGAAATTAGTCTTTGGATCAAATGAAGCATTATAGCACAGATTTTAAATGCTTTTCTGTTATTGATTTTTTTCCCCTCAATTTCTGTCTCCTCCTCACTCGCCTTTTTTTCCCAACCCCTCGATTTCTCCTATTTTAAAATTCCCTTCCTTGCATTGATTTTCTTCCCCTCCTCTTTCCTGTGGGATTTTTCTCTTCTTCTTGTGAGAGTCTATTTTGTTCAACAGTTGCCACACGGCGGTTCTGTAGGTTGAGCTGAGGCTCTGGGGAAACACTGTCAGATGGAGAGACAAAAGGGGGAGGCGGAATCACTACAAGGTTTCAGATTACAAGTCGTGTATTTCCCCCTTTCTTTCTCCAGGCTTCGCTCTGAATTGATCGAGAATTTGATCTCTTCATATTTAGGAGTGAAGAAGCAATAGCTATCATATAACCTGTATTGCATTCTTTCTTGGAGCGATATTGAAACATTTGTTCGATAAATCTAGGAACATGCTGCAGCCGGCTCTCCGACTGTGCTTCAGATTGCATTGTTTTCATGAAAAAATGTGCAACTGGTTATAAATCCTCCAGAGATAACACATAAATCAAAATGGAAATGATATTACTCCAGCCTGCTTTACTATTATAATACTGTAAATTCATAGCAGGTTATGGGGTGTATTATAATATAGTATCAACATTACTGCATTGTTTTTCTCTGCAGTTTGCATGTGCCAGGTTTCTGAGAAGCACCGTTTTCCTGAGTCTCCGAGGAGTCTTTCATGGTACAGTAGTGTACAATAATTGGTAATGAATTTCAGATTAATCGAGATCATATTTTTATTACACTAAAATTGCCCTTTGAGCACATTGTGAAGAGATTAAACTGTGATTGCAGTCGCTGTTTTGCAGCTTGTCTTTGCAGCAAGACATTAACTGAGGCAGGGCTCCTTCGGCAGATGTCACATCTTCTTCAGGACATTTAAAGAAATGACTGTGGTTCAAGAACAATGAATTCTTATATTCAGTGTTAAGACTTGTGTAGTAACAAGAGACTCCAAGGAAATCTATGTGCATCCTGAATTTTGTCTTCACCTGGTTGGTTGAGCAGGATTTAGTTTCATGTGAAGGGTTGTTAAAGGATAAGGCCAGTCATTTTCTCTATTAGAGAAAATCAGATACTTAGAGACTCTTGGCATGATTATCAAAAAACTGTGAAAAATCTTAAGAGAAATTATTTCTCTAATATCATTCAGTCAAACTGTCATAAGCCTCATGTGCTGTTTAAAGTTATTGACTCAGTTCTGAATGTCTCTCAGGTTGCCTGTTTTGAGTCTTCCCCCGCCCTTTGTCAAAATTTTTTATTCTTTTTTAATGACAAGGTTCTTTCTACTAGAGCTCAAATTTTATCTCCTGTTTATGATTGTTCTGTCTCTCATCCCTGCTCTGCTGTCTTCGACCAGTTTGAGTGTGTGTCCTTATCCTATTGTCAGGAGATTGTTGGGCGACTGAATCCCTCTGGTTCCCCAAATGATGCTGTTCCTCCTCGTTTTTTAAAGGAAATCTTTTCGGTTGTGGGGCCATTTGTTCTTTCCATTATTAATAGTAGTTTATCCTCTGGCCTGGTTCCAATGATGTTTAAACATGCCGTGGTACGGCCGCTGATTAAGATCTGGATCCCACAGTGTTCTCAAATTTTAGGCCCATCTCATATTTGCCATTTCTCTCCAAAGTCCTTGAAAAGGTAGTTTATGCTCAGTTACTGGCTTTTTTAGATGAGCATAATATTCTTGAGACTTTTCAATCAGGGTTTAAAACCCTGCATAGTACTGAGTCAACCTTGGTGAAAGTCTTAAATGACATTTTCTTGCAACTGACTCAGGGAATTGTGTGGTCCTAGTGCTCTTAGATTTGACCGCTGCTTTTGACACAGTGGACCACAATATCCTTATTTCTCGTTTGGAGCACTGGGTGGGTATCCGGGGTATAGCTCTGGAATGGTTTTGACCTTATCTTAAGGATATATCCTTCTGTGTGAAACTCGAAGATGCTGTATCTTCCGCTGAGCCCCTTTTGTATGGGGTACCGCAAGGCTTGGTCCTTGGACCCCTTCTTTTTTCCCTTTACCTTCTTCCACTTCGTTCTATACTCAGGAATCACGGTGTTTCCTTTCATTTTTATGTGGACGATTGCCAGCTTTACCTACCGGTTAATAAGGTGAGTTCTTCTGTTAGCATACTTCTTGAATGTCTGTGTAACCAGTGTGCGAAGAAATGTAACTTCCATATAACTCTTTGATTGAAACCACACCAAATCCCCGATTTGTTTTGTTAATTGTTTAAACAGGGTTATATACTGTAGCATATAAATTGTGTACTGTCTTTTTAAGACACCTGAGATGCGCTTTTTTTGTACGTCATCATTGTCTAACTCTCAGTTTGTGCTCTCCAAGCTGAGAGAAGGTATGTGCTTTTGCTAAGAGCGTCAGATATGGTATTTTCTGTTGGTTAAACTATTTTGTCATTGCTTTAAGTTATCACAAATTGTTCTGTTCATATGGGTAGTTATGAGTACGGGTTTTATTTGAGACAAGTGCAGTTGGGGCCATTTGTGGGTGCACGTGTTCTGTCGTGTGTGCTAATTAATGCGTGGTTCTATTCCAGAGATGCATGTAGCAGATGATCACCCCATGTGCTGTGACTCATTTTATTTTCTTTGCAATTATCCAGGTATGTTCCACACAGTATTTGTTCATAATTGTTCACACTGGTTAGACTTACATTAGCACTTAATATAATTTAATGGTAATAGTTTATTTTGTGATTGTGTAACTCGCAGTTTGTGCTCTCCAAGCTGAGAGAAGAGATGCATGTAGCAGATGATCACCCCATGTGCTGTGACTCATTTTATTTTCTTTGCAATTACCCAGGGGATAATTAAAGTCAACCGGTGTGACAACAGTGGTCAGTGCCATTATTTCAACGTATAACACAACGCAGAGTACACTAACCCCGCCGACGGCCAAGGAGTGTTGCACCCGGTAGAGCCTGTTACATCTAGATGACATTAAATGTTAGCTTGCTTTTAACTTTTTAAAGCTGAATGAGGATAAGACTGAGGTGATAGTATTTAGTGAGGCTTGAGCTAGATTATTCTAAGTTCCTGACCTCTGGGCAGTGACAGGGGCCCATGTTTGGAAACACAGGCACTTGTCTTTGTCTCTCAAGCCCAGCAGGGGAGCTCAACCGGGGGTCCCCCTCCTGACAGGCGAGTCCATGAACACACGCTGCCTGTTCTGAGGCTGCTGGTCTGTCCTCTGATCCTCACCACCACCATCTTAATATTAATATGCCGTGAATAAGCAGACAGCTGGTTGGGCAGACAAACACTCCCTGGGTACACACACTCGAATGCACATACACACACGCCACAACAGGATGGGTTTGGCTTGCAAGCAAAAACATTGATCCTGACTCGCCTCACTGTGAGTCAATCTGGCCCCAATAGCCATTCAAGTGTGTCTGCTTCATCTGATGTTTCCC